TCTATAATAAATTAATATAAATATTTACAATAATGCATAATAATGTATGTATGTGATTGATTTTCAAATGAAAATGATAGAATTTACCGTTATCTGTACTCCTATACTATAAACCGATAAAAAACCAGTTATCAATTATAAATATAATCGGTTATCGATTTTACAAAATTCTGAACCAGTTTTAATCTGATACGATAAAAACCGGTTATAAATCCGATATCGATAACCAGTTCCAACCTTTACTTCTAACCTTTAAGAAAGGTCGCAAGTGTTGATATTATGCTTTACATTTGCTGGATTTTCATTATCTGTTTCACTAAGCTCTGGTAAATGATAGCGATTATCTTGTAATATCTTTAACACTTCTTTTTGTTCATATTTTACTACTTGATTATCTTTCTTTCTAAAAAGAAATTTGGCACCTTTTATACGTCAGAACTTTTTCTATATTTAATAAAACAAAGTTAGTAAATAGCAAATAATTTTAATAAAAAGTGTAACTTTATTTACCTCATTAAGTCAGCTGTTGCTATGTAAACGACGATTATCTTTATCGAGTTTTCTGTTTTTTCTATAGTTATATCAGCTTTTTCTATGCCTATGAATTCCTTAATTGACCATAAAAAGGGTTATATCTTGGCCTCATTGCTTTCATCAATTTGGGTATCAACTTTCGTAAAATTTCATTATTTGAATTACTTATAAACCTTTCATTATATTTCATTTCATTTCAGCCGGCAAGGTTTTAAGTATTGTCTTCATTTTATACTAATAAAATAATATTAGTTATTAAAATCAGTATAACAAGTGAAAATAATATAAAATTCTGAACCCTTGCACCATTTACATCTAATTCCTCTTCGTCATCATTATTTCTGATTGGTTTTTTTCTTTTAGATTTCTTTTTAGTTTTTTGACGTTTAACTCTTTGAGTGGTATTATAATATGTCTCATCATCTGACTCAAAATCAGTTTGTAAGTCGATTCCATCTTCTGATCTCTTATCAATCGACTGCAAAGTCCTTGGCAATCAGAAGGATTTGCTTCGTTTAAGTTCTTTATGTAATTTATCCTGTTCTTTTTCGAATTCCTGATTAATAAAAAATAAAGTTTTGTTTTCTTGGCGTAGTTTGTCTAACTCTCCAGAAAGTGTTTCATTTTGACTTTGTAATTTCTGGTTGTCTTCTTATAATTCAATGATTTGTGCATATAACTGAGCAACTTTTTTAAATAATTAAAAATCGGTATATTGGTAATATTATAAACATAAAATTTAAATAAATCTGTGCCCATACCATCAACATTTCTATCTTTTGGTAAACTCGAAATACTTTTTCTTTAACAGAAGGTAAATGCAATCTCATGGGTAGATATATATTTGGAATTAATCTGATTTTGCTAATGTCTCTTTCTTTATTTTGCTTATTAGAAGTGGCCAGTATAGAGCTAGTTCCTTGACAAATTGTTTTTGCTAGATTTTTTTTAAAAAGAATGTGTTAGTATCGGTTATATTCAGCATAAGCGAAAATTGGTCAAAAACCATCAGAATAAGTAACAGCAGATGATTCTAAAATAGGTGCAGTTGGTCGAGACTTTTTTCATTGGTGATTCATCTTTATATTTTTAAATTATTAGTGTGAATTTTAAGTTGCAACAAATGTTTTAAAAAAGTTAAATAGAAAAATGAGCTTCTTTTATATGGTTGAATTTCAATAAACTTCAGTAATCTTTACTATATAGACTATATATAAATATACTTTCATGTAATAATACAATAGAAATAAACTTTTAGAATGAAATTTTAAACTAAATACGTTTATATATTTTAATAATATTTTAATAAACTTTTGAAATGAATTTTAAACTTCAACGCATTCATATATTTTAAAAAATGACAAGAAAAAGATCAATATTGAGTATAATTTATGAAGAGTCAACTACTTCTCGATCAATTGCCAAGCTAACTAGCAGAAGGAGACCAAAAGTTTTTTGTCTTTGTAGCAAATGCAATGGAAATATGGTTGATTCACATACAAAAAGATTACATATGTCAAATGAACAAAACAATCACTTAGCTCAGAAAAATATCAAATTACTTCAACCAAATGTCGAAAATGAACAGGATGAAGAGACTTCAACAACTTCAGCTGCTTTAGGACAAACTTTTAACCAAAATAGACAAAATAACGAAGAAACTCAAAAAACTACCAATAATTTTACCTATTTTAATGCTTTATTGTCTCGAAAGCATAGATATACAAATTGTCAAATATTGCCTGTTGAACTTCCAACTATAGAACATAATGATAAAGCAATAGAGAACTCTGAATTTGATATTGAGGATGATGATAATGCATCAAATGGAACTGAACAGGCTGATTGTGATTATGCCGAATATTTTGAAGATTACTTACTACCTAACTACAAACCGTTTAAAGATCCAATCATTCAATAAATGATAGACGATTTTTATGAATTTTGATATGTATCATGAATTTCTGAATTAAATATCATATATCAGAAACAGCTACTGAAATTTTGGTTAAATTCATGAAAATAGTATTAGAAGAAATCGGTGGTGACGACTTTGATAGTTTTTCTGACTCACTTTATTTGGTGAGAAAGGAACTTGATCTGAAAAATCAATTTTATAGTTTTGTGATATGTTCGAAGTGCCACAAACTGTATCAGAAGAAAGAAGTGATAAATTTCCAGCAGGCTGAAATTCTAGCAATTATGAAGTATCAACACGTTAAATATCTAAATTCAACAAGTCAGAAAATATGTTTATGTCAAACGCCATTATCTTAGTAAACGAAATTATTAGATGGTCGAATAATTAATCAACCTAAACTAATATATTCATTCGTTAGGATTCACCAACAGTTAGCTACTTTATATCATCGACTAGGATTTGAAAGTTCTCTTAAACATTGGGCAAATTGATCAAATTTTAATATTTTAACCGATATATACAACGGCCAAGTATGGAAAAATTTCAAAGAAACAAGTAACGAAGAATTGCCAAACTTTTCTGAAATGAAGTGGCTGATTCACATCTTGGACTAATACTAAACCTTGATTGGTTTCAACCATATGATGGAACTATCCATAACACTAGTATCATTTATGCTGCAATTTGCAACTTGCCTCGTGATTTGCGATTCAAATATGAAAATCTACTAATTCTTGATTTTTTACCTGGGTCAAACGAAGTTAGCTTACAGAAGGTGATCACGGGTACCTAAACAATTAATTAAACTATTTGAATTTACTTATTATATTAACTTTTTTTTTAGAATAAACAAAAAATTTATTTGTTCTGAATATTTCCTATATATTTTATTAAAAAAAAAATAAAAACTAATAC